ACCCCAAGGGCCGTCAGGGGAAGGGGGGGGGGGACATATCCCCCCAAAAAAAAATCCTGCCGGGAGCAGCCAGCAGTCCCAGCCAAGTCTGGCTGGACGAGACTCGCATCGTCCTCGGCGGCTTCTTTCCTTCCTCGCCTAGGGCTTCCCTGTCCCCGGCCCTGCTTATCACACTCACGCACCAAAGTAACACAGGTCACAGCTAGTTCTCCCACCCCACTCTTCCCTCGAAACACCCGTCCTTCCTCTAGACATATACCTTCCATTACATTTCCCTTCATCATTACCATTGCCTTTTTCCTTCCTTCATAAGGCAAATTAGACAACTCCAAGAGCCAAAATCCATAACATTCTTTTCCTTTTTCAAAACAACAAAGAAGACGAAATGAATTTTGATAAGCAAGACGAAAGTTCTAACAAAATGGAAATGAAATAGACTTTAAAAAACACACCAAAAAAAACACAAATAAATCTACACACAAAAAAAACTAATGGCGGCACAAGTGCAGAGTACCAAAAAAAAACTTTTTAAAAACTGGAAAAGTGGGGTGTGGTCCTAGGTCTTCCACTACTGCGAGTGTTTCTTCCTAACATCCCATTACCAAAGGAGAAAAAAGGCAACACAGAGAAGAAGGCGTGCCAGGAGGTGAAAAAAATGCTTTTAAAAAATCCACACAAGACATGGAACCAAGGTTGAGCAATGACGTCAAATGTCACTACATGGCCCGTTACCCACAAACAAACGCGCGCGCTCGTACGCATACACACTCGCGCGCGCGCACGCACACACACACACACATACACACGCACGCACGCAAGCACGCACGCACGCACGCACGCACGTATGCACGCGGGGGCGCGCGCGCGCGCACACACACACACACACACTGCCCAGCTCGTTCCGTTATCAAGGCATAACCAAGCGATGGATTAAAAGCAACCAAAGGGGCAAAAAAATGGAGGAAAACAAATGGAAGCAAAACTTAAAAACAACAATTGCTAGAAATGGATTGCACAAAATTCACAAGCACATAAACCACAAAAAACCCAAACGAAATAGCGGGAGGCGTGTTATAACTGATAGCTCCATTCGTCGTATGCGGAGTGAGTTCATGTCTAGAGGTTAAACAAAAAGTAATGAAGGTGAAAAGGTGCATGTCCTGAACAGTTAACAAGGAATCAAACAAAAGGGGGTCTTCGAACGAATGTAACAACAACTGAAAAGGAGACATTCCTAAAAGTGATGGACAACCAAAGACACATTCAGGGGCGAGCACTGCTGATGCCACCCCAT